CTTTTGTCCAATTTCGGCTGTAGGGGTGAAACAGTCAAAACTGTTTTCCCGGTCAGAGCGAACTGTTACCCGGCGCGAATTCAATGCGCAGAAATCTCCCCTCGAGAGCCCCCTTCAAGCGTTTCGGTGACCGCGACTCAGTGTTGAAGCAATGGCAACATTGCATGCAGCATTGATACTAATATTTATTTGGTAATAAAACAATTGTTTCATGGCTATTTGGGGTAGGGGAAAGCCCTGTGGAACTGTTTGCCCTTGGCCTAGCGGCCTCGGGCAAACAGTTCCCCAGGGCTTCCCCCTACCACGGGATGATAGTTTTGACTGTTCCCCAAATAGCCGTGAAACAATTGTATATTATTACCCAATAGTCTATGTAAATTATAATTAGACATTTTTGACTGTTTATGGCTTTTGTCCAATTTCGGCTGTAGGGGTGAAACAGTCAAAACTGTTTTCCTGGTCAGAGCGAACTGTTACCCGGCGCGAATTCAATGCGCAGAAATCTCCCCTCGAGAGCCCCCTTCAAGCGTTTCGGTGACCGCGACTCAGTGTTGAAGCAATGGCAACATTGCATGCAGCATTGATACTAATATTTATTTGGTAATAAAACAATTGTTTCATGGTTATTTGGGGAACAGTCAAAACTATCATCCCTCGGTAGGGGGAAGCCCTGTGGAACTGTTTGCCCTTGGCCTAGCGGCCTCGGGCAAACAGTTCCCCAGGGCTTCCCCCTACCTCGGGATGATAGTTTTGACTATTCCCCAAATAGCCATGAAACAATTGTATACTGTAACAGTATGTGCAAACTAGTACTGTAGCAGTATGTGTAAACTAGTACTGTAACAGTATGTGTAAACTAAATATATAGCTAAACTGATATCTGTGCTCGCTTAACAGTAAACAATAAATTATATTTCCTGCTTAAAATGGTCCATTTTGATTAGTAAAGTTAGGAACAGATGTTTGTATTCAGAGTTATGCTTCATCACATGTGCTTGTTACCATTTTAGAGAATATTTTATAAGATGTTAAAGGTTTTGGACTCATTATCAGTCAAACATAGTACTTATATAAATGTTCATATTTTATAATTTAGTATAATGTTTTGACAGGTGTTTGAGATGGACCTCATTATCAGTGAGTAATACTATAACTTGAATTAACGTTCATCTTTGACAATGATTGCAATTTTTAAAAATAGGTTTACATTATGTCACCTGTCAAAAATACAATTTAAAAAAAAATCACTATTATCATAGCCATTGCCTGCATTTGATCAATGTGGTTCAAAAATATATTAGACAAAAAACTTGTTTAAATGAAGACTCCATTCTAAGAAACAGAACTGTGAGTGAGTGAAGCATGTGCTGGACCCCTCCCTGAGCACCAAGTCTCATACCTAAACTAAAGCTCATTAACAGACAGATAAAAAAAAAAACCTATTCCAATCCATGTGCTGTACCCCTCCCTGAGCACCAAGTCTCATACCTAAACTAAAGCTCATTAACAGAGAGATAACCCTATTCCAATCCATTGCTGTACCCCTCCCTGAGCACCAAGTCTCATACAAAATATCAATTTAATAATCCACATATATAGTATCGTGAACTCTTCCTGTAATATACACAAGGTAATTAAACTGGTGTAGTTTATATATTATATAACCCTCTCGTTTTGGCGGATATGAGATTGACCCTTACCATCTAATATTATTTATATATTGGATAAGGAGGGTATATAAAGTTTTGTTTTTATCCGACGTTAACAATTATATAATTAAGTACCAAGTATCCAAACAGCCTGTGTCGTTGGAGAATTTACATATATGACCTAGCAAGTGTTCCCCTAAAGCTATATATAGACACAAGATAGATCATATGACCGTATTTGCGTACAACGACAGGAAGGAAAAACTCAGGTGTTAGTTTCTATACCCAGAATAGTTACTCTAAAAACAAACAACAGATAGCTACGTAATGGTAATGTGACCTCATTATAACTGATCCAATTACCTGTATACTCTACACCTGGTGCTGATCACAAAACACGCACAGTCGCCATACTGATAACGTAAGGTGGTACGTATTACCTGGCCAACAGGGGGCGCTCGTATAAAAGTTGCGTGATTCTATTTCATGGCGCCAAATACGGTTTACGAAAAAGTAATGAAATAAATAAAAGCATGTTTACCCATAATTCTAAATATTTTATCACTGACATCATCATTGCTGTAAATGCAACCGAAGTTGAAAACTAGGGCCAATAGTTAATAATGAAATTGTTCTGTTCACATGAATGGAACCCAAAATGTTAGTTTTAACAAAATAAAATGAAAATGAAATGACGTCACACCTTATTTTGAGCAAGCAACACGTGCGATTTACTTGTACGCTACAAAACATGTTTATGTGCACTTAAACGGGTGAAGTGACTTGGCTTGTGCGCTCAGTCTTGTTTATTATTATACGTTTTGATAAAATTACATATAGCCATTTCAGGCATTTGTAGCACAGGCACACGAGAATTTGTTAAAGCTATATTTGGACCGAACTTGACTAAAGTGTTTTTACTGAAAGTTGGTATAAACCCCTAAAATGTGAACTCTGAACACCTTAGTGTAAGTCCAACTATAGCTGTGACAAATTCCAAAGTCCCTGTGATTTGAAGCACTTCCTTACAGCTTAATAGTAATAATCATCATGGATACTTCAGGAGCACAAGTTCATTTCTTTATTATCTGTAGTAATTACTCATAGTTGTGCGTGTTAATTAAATTCTCGTTATCAACTACCACTTTTCAAACAAAATATAATATCTTCAATAAGTGGTACCGCGTCTACGATCATAGTTCTTGATACCCGATTTCAAAACCCATTCCCTCCTTCTTTATTTTGGGTAAAAATGATAAGACAACAACGTGCTGCCCTGTGAAAAATGTGCTAGTTATTGCCCGTGACTTTACACCGGTACCAGGCGACATATGTGTCACGCAATCTCGAAGACATACTTTTTACCACTATATGGCACTTCGACATTATAACCCTATTCCAAGTTCAGATGGCATTCATATCGGCCATGAATGTCCTGCCTATGACGCATTGACTTCCTCATCATTATGACGTCATAATTGTAACTTTGGCACTGACCCTCTATCGACGAGGTCTGTTCTCTTCATTAAACATGGATGATATTAAAATAATTGGTGTAGATAGGTTGAAAGCTTTCAGTTAGTATTCACAGCACACTTCATAGAATTTGTTACATATCAGTTGGCATTCATAGGCAGTATGAATGACATCTGAATGCAGTCCATATCTGAATGTTTTCTATATGGTTAAGGATTCTTAGTTAGTGCGAAAAATGTGATCAAATATTCTTAAACGTCTCAAACGTCTGTTGATTACCTTCAATTTCGGCCCACCGCGCCTGATAACTGCTAGCATGGTACCAATATCCGTTGTCGTTAACGCATATTGGTACCATGCAAACTTCGGCTAAGCGATAAAGTTAAATAACAGATGGACAAAACTGATTTTAAAATTAGGGAATGATCTGGCGAGAAGAGGGTCGGTCATAAAGTGTATCAAAAATGCATTACATGACAATTTTTGTGAACCATAGCTGTCTGGGATTAAAGTATTAAAACTAAAACACAATGTTGCAGTATTTGATGTTTTCTCGATGATTTTCTCGATGTTTTGTTATGTCTCATTCAAATAATGTCTTTCTTTAATTTGATTTACCTTGATCGGGATGGTCGGGAATTGAGCTTAAAGCTCGTATATATTCCGAATGGTACCGGTAATCTTCTCATTATTTACTGAATGCCATAACACTACAGTATTCTTCATCCGGCTACATGAACAAAAGTACTGATATCGAGTGTAACATTCTCCGGTGCACCTCGGACCTGTTACTAAAACACTCCCGTTTACCTATCCGTAAAGCTAGTCCATGCTTTCTGATGTTTTACTGGATGTCGGGCTAGCACGGTATGGGCTATTTCCTTTGACAGGAAGGGCGGATAGACCCTCTGCGGTGTATACTATACTGACTTAACTCGTCGTTCAGTATCTGTCTTTGCCAGGGTCTCATTATGGAAGGGTGTTAATTCAATAGAATAGTTTAAGGTAGAGAGTCACATTACTTTTCAATTGTATACAGGCGTACAGTATTTATTTTCCTATTTTTTTTCCATAGAAATTCATACATGTTTTGCGGGCCTTTTTAGAGAGTAAGGAACATCGTTTAAAAATAAAGAAAAGAACATCTCAAATATCCTGAACGGAAGCGGGGTAGAAGATAGCGCCCAGACGTGTGGAGGGGAAATAGCTCCGAAAGAAATAAAGCTTCCTCTGGTTATATCAGGACGTTAAAGGACTGTTATTTTGATTATTAATTTTTAGATCATGTGATTTAATATTTTAATGGCTATACAAATCTGTTACCAATAGACATAAATGGAAAAGGTATAGTAAAAGGCGTTTCCTTATTCGATGATTTTCATTAGGAATGTTGAGAGTTTATGTTTCATGAGAGTTATTTCCCCTTTACCAATGGTTTCGGGCTAGTCGATTTTGCTCAAAATAATTCTCATTCTTTTATTGCTAGGAGTTCGTTAATTGTTTTTATCTTATTTTCGTTTAGCTCTTGTCATAATTTTTTCCTTTCTTCTTTATGTTTGTGACAGTGCCAAAAAACATGATCTGTTGTTTCGTTTTCATTGCAATTTGGACAGGTTGGTGATATTTTTTATTCATAATACTTATGTTTTCATTTAGTTTGGTTGTACCTAGTCTCAGTCTTGTTATTGTAACATCTTCACTTTTACTATGGCCATATAGTTTAGTATTTTTAATTGGTTCTTTTATTATAGTACGTAATACATTGTTTTGCCCTACCTCGTTCCATGTTTTTATCCATTTATTGTCTATGGCTTTGTTTATTGGAGAGTAAGGCTCTTCTTTAGATAAATTGACTTCACATTGAATTGTTTCTTGTTTTAGTGTCATTTGGCTAATTTATCGGCTTTTTCATTTCCTGGAATGTGTACATGGGCTGGTACTTATTCAAATTTTACGTGAATTCCTTGATTTTTAAGAGATTGTACTGAATTTAAAATAGAGTATGTACAGTGGTTCTTGTACGGTACTGAGGATAGACTGTCTGTGAGAATTACGGCCCCTTGCTCAGGTTTTTCTTGGTCAATAATTTTAAGTGCTAGACCTATGGCTATTAATTCGCTTGTATATACAGAACAGTTAACAGTTAGTCTTACGGATACTGCTATATTCTGATGAATACAATCCTAGTCCTACTCTATTGTTGCCAGGGTTTTTAGACCCGTCCGTATAGTATTTCGGTAGGTGTTTGTATTTATCATCGATAATAGATAAAGCTATGGCCTAAGCTGCTGTTGGGTTTCTTTTTTATTTGTCGCTTTTAAAATATCTGTGCTAATTTCTTGTTGTCCTAATAACCATGGTGGTGTTGGGTTAGGGGATTTTTCTTTAATTTGAATGTTTTCTAATTTGTGTTCTTTTATAAAATCATTAGTCACACGACTAAATGGTGTTTTTATGACCATATGATTTATTTCTATATTTGGTGTCCTTGGCGTCTTGTACTATTTTACTGGGCGGGAAGGCTGATCCAAATGCTTGAGTTCTAGCCCAATATTTGAGAATTAATTTCTCTTTTCTTAACTTAAGTGGTAATTCACCACTTTCTGCTAGTAGGCTAATTGATGGAGTATTTGTAATTGCTCCCATTGCTATTCTTATGCTGGATAATGTTTAGGGTTTCAATGCATTATCGGAGGCTGAATTATATATATGGCATCCGTAATCTATTTTTGACCTAATTTTAAAAAGCTTTATAGAGTGTGAGGAGTAATTATTGGAGTTGATTCACTTAAAATTTATTTAACAAAGCTCTATATAATATTCATGTAACTATGAAATAGTTAGAACAGGTTATAGAATAGTACTCATAAATTCCACCCAGTCCAGCCGAATACCAGAGATGTTGTGAAGATAGATATACACCAGTATCAATACTTATTAGCAGAGTGATCATGACACTATAAATAATAGCATCACTTTCAATGTAAAATTTTGCTGGGAGCGAGATTACATATAAAGCCTGTTAGTTCGACAATTGTAGTCAGATATACTTTATAAAATAGATATGTTAATATCAGCGCTGCATATTAAGCACCCATTTAATAGAAGTTTTAGATTACATCCCCATATTCAAGTATGTGTCTAATAAAAGAGGTATATATTGTTGTAAGCCTTTTTCTATCCAATTTGTGTTTTAACATTCTCAATACAATGTATATTCATTATTTTATAACCTAGCTCATAAATATTGTCAATGTGATATGTCCATTTTCGTTCACTACTAAAAGTTAAACCAAGATGCTTATGAGTTTGTTTATTAATACAGTTTTATTACCAAATAAGTTATCTGGATGATAATGGTCCCTTTTCCTCGAGAAGATTACAGATTCAGTTTTTAGTGAATTAAGTTTGATATCCCATTGTTTTGCCCATGCATTAATATAATCTAGATCATTATTTTATTTCACTGCAATTTAATTTTGATTCTTGTCTATTACTTCATAGAGAGAAGCATCATCTACAAAAAGTTTTATTTTACTTGTTACACATTCTGTTATATCGTTAATATAGATTAAGAAAAGAAATGGACCAAGGACCGAGCCTTGGGGTACACCGGCTTTGACATGCTTAAAAGTTGAATAAAACCCCTCTGTTGATACTCTCTGCTTTCTACCAGAAAGATAATTACTAAACAATTCTAATATTTTCCCTTTTATGCCATACGATTCCAATTTAAAAAGTAAACTTTAATGCCAAACTCTATGAAACGCCTTACCTACATCACAAAATACAAATCTGATGTCATTATTTTGATCCAAGTTATTTACAATAGTGTCATATATAGATAATAACTGGTTTACAGTCGAGTCTCTTGGTAAGAAGCCTGATCGGTGTTTCGTTATGATATCACATTCTTTCATATAATTAAACATTTATTTTAAAATAACTTTTTCAACAATTTTGCTAAAACATGATGTAATAGATATTGGCCTATAGTTAGAGACATCATTCTGAGCACCCTTACCTTTGTATATTGCATTAATATAAGCTGTTTTCCAAGAAAGAGGTATAGTACCAGATTCAATAGTCTTATTAAAAAGTGAAGTTTGAGGACATATTAGAGAAGGTGCTAATTTCTTTATTATCTTGGGTATCATGCCATCTGGGCCAGGAGTTTTTTTATCATTAAGTAAACACAGTTGATCTTTAATGTCCTCTTCAGATATAATATCATATTGTCTAGAAGGAAGGGAAAAGTATTTTCATGGGGGGGGGGGGGGGGGGGGGGGGGTAAGGGTTCCAAGATTTTCAGGAGAAGTTGATATTGAGCTGAAGTAGTTATTTAGACATTCTGCTTTTTCAAA